GAATCGGGGGCCCAGACGGGACCCCTCTGGGTTTGCTCGGAAACGCTGTGTTTTGGGGGGTGGCGCTTATTAGCTAGCGCTTGCCCTAGTTTAAAGCGTGAGGAAGGAGGGGGCTTCTGAGCCCTGCCTTTGGGATTTTCTGGTCTGAAGAGACACACGGATTGCAGCCGAGTTCGTGGCTCAGATGCTCAGATTTGTGGAGGTCGTGGCATTTCTCGTGCTTGATGTCAGAGGGGATCCGTGACCGTGGTCGTGGGGAGCCCCGGGAGCCCCTGCAGCACCTGCTGGGCTGACGGTGTCGCGGAGGCTGTGTCTGGGGGTGGGACCGGGAAATGAAACGTGACAGAGATCCTGTTTAGATATTCTGCTGAAGTTATCGGGTTTCTTCGGTTCGAGTATACCAGTTCTAGAACAAGTTGATAAATCCAGTTTTGAGACTTTGTGAGAGAAGAGATTTGGGTGGCAAATAGATTTGGGATCACCCCCAAAAGCTAAGAATGTGTTTGGGGTAGCCCAAATACCTACTCGTTCCCATATCCTCCTGGCATGTTCATTTTCTTCGCTGCCACAAATGCCCTAGGCACGAGAAGGATCCTGGAATAAGAAGCTGAGCTAGCACAGGCCCGAGCCCCAGATTGAGCTGTTTTCAAGTGAACAAACGTGTAACTAGGAAAAGAATGTTTTTATGAGCAGGGGTTGTTGGTAAGTTGAGAGAACTTGCTCTTTAATTGAACACCATCAGTCAATATGGGGTACTTGATTTTTTTTTGTAGTGTCGAGTATCAAGGGTCCTTTGGTCAAGATAGTCATAGATGCCATTGCTAAGTTTTGTGATTCAAATAGTCATAAATCATATTTTAACCAAAGCATTTACTACATAAAGGAGTCCCAGGTGAATCCTGTGAATCTCCAAGGATTTTGATATTTGAGGGCTATTTAAAATGAAATTCACATATTTATTTGCATTTGGCTTTACCTGGGAGATAATCCTGAGTCATGCTTTAGAGAAGTTCCTTCTCAGATCAGACATTCAGATGTCTGTGCTCTGTAAACATTGGACTCTGCCCTTTACCTGTAGCGGACCTTTCTGGAACTCTGGGGAAATGTGGTCTTAAGGACATTGGAAGCACACTGAGGCCATCACCACTTTTTCACCCTTTCTGCATGCCTATGCTCTAAATTACTTGTGTTCACATTCTCAAATTTCTTTACCATAGAAATTTTGTTTACACTACTGCCATTGGTATAATACTTGTTTTATATTCATGATCTTGTTTATTTTCTCCATTTCCCCAAAGAAGAAGCTGGGCATATGGGTGGTTTACTCAGGGTCTCATAATAATGAAGCAGTTGGAATTCTGGTCCTTCCCTTCTGGTAGTCAGTTCTCTTTCCTTTGCACTGCCTGCATGTGACTTCAGAACCCTACTCCTGGGCTGTTGCACTATAGGCCAGTTTTTACTTTCATTTAGGGTTTAAATGGTCTAATTACTTTTGGGAGAAGTGATATTATTTTATCTCATGGAAACTAAGGATAAGAGGAATTTATGATTTTGTGACTCTGACAGTTCTTTAGCAATCAGTCACTTTTTAACCTAGTTCTCCTCTCTTCTAGACCACATGGTTGAGAGAGGAGAAAAAAGAATTACTTAAGATCCAGGTTAGGTTATTATCCAGGGCTGGGGCGGTGGCTCAGTAGTAGAGTGCTTACCTAGCATTTGTGAGGCACTAGGTTCGATTCTCAGCACTACATATAAATAAATGAATAAAATAAAGGTCAACCAACAACATATATATATATATGAAAAGATCCATTTCTGCATTGGTTGAGTTAGGGCTAATCTAACACCATAATCACATTATCCTTGTATGTCTGGCTACTTGTGCTGGCTTGTATGTGGATGTTAACCCAAAAGACTCCTTTAGATGTGGCTGAACTAGTTACTATAAAAAGTATTTCACTTTCAAACTCCCACGTTTCAAGAACAGAAACTCAGTACAAAGGCAATTTTGAAGGTAAGTATAGATGGAGAGACTTTATTGAGTCCTGCCTTCAGAATGCTAGACACAATGGTTTCAGTAGAAAAGCATTTTAAAGGGCTACCTGGAAACTCTGGGAAGGTAGTAGTTAGAAATTTTTCTTATTACTTGTTCAAATTTGGAGGTTTATATTGCAGTGTATAGAGTAATATATAGGAGTAGGACTTTTGGCCCTGCAGGATTCTTAGTCTGTAGCAGAAAAGATCAACCCAGAATTTTGGGTTAAATTTAGTTCATTATAACTCATAAGCCTGTAAATGCAGTTTTATTGTGGTAAGGAAGGTGGCATTTAAGGGTTAGTTTTTTTTTTTAAGTTGTATATGGACACAATACCTTTATGTTTATTTAGTTTTTTTTATGGGTGCTGGAAATTGAACCCAGTGCTTCACACATGCTAGGCAAGCCTTCTACCACTGAGCCACAACCCCAGTCCGTGTTAGGTTATTTTTTAAGCTAATAACTTATTATTGGATTGTGTGTTCTCTAGATTTTCTACCTTGAAAAATCTGTAATTTCTTTTTTAAAAATATTTTAGTTGTAGAAGGACATAATACCTTTATTTTTATTTATTTATTTTTATGTGGTGCTGAGGATTGAACCCAACGCCTCCTGCATGCTAGGCAAGCACTCTACCACTGAGCTACAACCCCAGCCCTCTGATTTCTTTTAAACTTTTGAAAATTCTTCAGTATGTTTTCCTTAACTGAACTACTGCAAACATTACACTGTCTAACCTTTTAAGAATAAACATAGGCAAATTTTTGGTGATGATTTATAGACTTTGGGACAAGAATTTATTTTCATCAAAGGTCAGATCTTTTCAGATGAACTGATTTTTACCAGGTCAGGAAGTGTTGTGTTTTGAATTTTATAATTGTGCTTGGTTGCTTTCACTGTCTTTTAAAACAATCTTTAGTAAGGAAAATCACCATAAAGAGAAATTTGTTTTTGTTGTTGTTACCCTTAGAATCTCCGTTCCTCACAAATTATCTGACATATAAGATTTTTCTTTACCTTCATCAAATGAAACAGGCCTATTTGATGCCCATTTCAAGGTCTTTCTTTTACTGCCTGTCTTGTGGTCACTTCTCATTAATCCTCCAGGGAAGACTGCAGAAGAGAGAAAAGATGAAAAGCAAATGAATCATTTTCTAATTGTTAGCAGCTCTGGAAAATGATTTGGTAGAAGAGATTGAAGCTATTCTGGAAATTCTTTTGGATTTTGTTTTATTTCATCCATCTGCATTGCCTCTGATATGTTCTGAATAATAGCCATTAATTCAGAATCCAACTATTGGGTAAGCAGTAATCTTCCTGGCTTTTTTTTTTTTTTTTTTTGGTTTCTTGCTTTATCAGAGCATCTCTACTTAGGACATTTAGAAACAAGGAGTAGAGGTAAAATTTAATATTTCTTCCCCTTTGAACTCTTTAATGAGCAATTTGATTTTTTTAGAATTTAGTTATTGTTATTGGACGTGACTAACCATGACTGTTCTTCAGTTTGTTTTGATGAATCTTATACACAAGTATAGGAAGACTTTTGGATGCTTTTTAAGAAACATGGGCTTATGTAGATTTCCATAGTTGCTTTCCTAAATTATTAAGTTTGAAGTTTCTTTACATCTTTGTACAGATTCTGGGCTTTTGCTGTGGAGCAGATTTATGGGTATCATCAAATTTTCTTTTATGACTGCTCAAGAAATTACCCTGTTTTGATTTAGAAGTAAAAAAGAAAAAAGAAGGAAAGAACTAGAAATAGACCTTGCCTAACAGTATAACATCAGTCTATTGGTATTCCATTTCTCATTTAACAATTAGGATATTGATGGATTGGATTCTTTATGTCACTTAAGTTCTTTGTGTCACTCCATTTCTCATTTAACAATTAGGATATTTAACAATTAGGATTGGAGTTCTTTATGTCACTTATTCACACTAGTGAGTAGGTTTCTGCCTTTTAAAAAAATTTTTTTTCTGGTTGTAAATGTGACTTTAATATTATTTATTTATATGCGGTGCTGAGGATTGAATCTAGGGCCTCAGACATGCTAGGCAAGTGCTCTACCACTGAGCCACAACTCCAGCCCCAGGTTTCTGCCTTTTTAAAACTTAGATTCAGAGGAATTTTTACAGACCCTTTATGACTGGTTAGGCTGAGTTGTATACAATTGTAAATAAATCCCTAGTAGGTGGATAGGTTTAATAGGTAGTTATAGAGAGTCTAAAATTAATCTTTTTCAATTTCTTGGTTTTGGGGATTCTCTTTTTTCAATATTTGTTCAAGGAGGGTATTTATGGAAAGATCTAGACAAGGGGCCAGAAAACCCAATACTTATTCAGTTACTTCCCATCTGTGGGCCTTGAACAAGCCACTTAATCTACTTGGTTTCTCTATTTTGCATCTCTAAAATGGGGGCAATAATCTGTGCTTGGATTATTATATCAGCAATGTTGGTGGGTGGGAAGATGTACATATCATTGTCTATTTAAATTGCTTCTTCTTTCTGGAATCCCTTCTCAGGTTGTGCAAATTTTCTTTGTTCCACTGAGTGAGCTCTTTCTTTATTTTCTGATTTGGAATCTTGGACTTTCCTCCTGCAGGCTCTGCCAGTCCATCTCTGTAGCACTTTGGAATTCTGTACTTCAGTTGCGTGTTGCCTTCTTTTGTAGATTGAAGGCTCCATGAGAGCAAGGGTGGCCTTTTCCTGTTTCTGTATATCTTGCACATATGCTCCCTCCCCCTAGTTGATTCAAAATAAATGTTGGTTGAATGATCAATTATTGAGGTATTAGGAAATAATACTTTGAGTGACAGGGAATGCCAATGATGAGCAGAACTTACCAGAACTTCCGAAGGTCTAGCCTTTTCAGTTGCACAGTTACTGATTTGTTGTTATCAGTATCAGCATGAGATGCTGGCAAGACAAGTTGGTAAAGTTCACTTCTTGGTTCTGTTTACTTCAGACACCATTTATGAAGCAAGTCAGAGGAATACAGATTTGTCACAGCAGCCCTGAATTTGACATTTGTTCCATTTCTCACTCAGTAGCATGTCTGTATCCAACTGCTGAGTGTAAAGAGTAAAAGCTGCACATCCTCTGGTCTACATTTTAGCTTGTTTGCTTTGAAGAATTTGCAAGGTGGAGAAATAGATGCTTTAGGCTCTGATTTCAGCCCATGCTGTGCTATGCAAATGTTCTCTACATGCCTGAGTGACCTTTTGAGAAAGGGCCTTTGTGATCTTTTGTAGCCAGAGCTTGTTCTGGGAATTGTGTGCCAGATTCCTCTAAAAGTGGGAAAAGTGGATCTGTTCAAAGACTGCATTTAAAAAAGCCGATGCTTTTCCTGGATGAATACGGAGAAGTCCGTGTTTCTTACCATCTCTTGCCAGTGCTTTTGAAATTTGCTCTACAGTTTGCTTTGCAGGTTGATTTGGGGAATGGAGTGTGTGAGAGGGAACTTACTAAGGCTGGAAGTGTTTAAGTGCTCTTGAATTGTAGATAAAAATAATTTGAAACTGGCATCATTAGCATATGGGTGTTTATTACTGTCCTAAGGCTGGCTCTCTAGGAGTGCTGGCTAACAACTCTGACCCCAATCAGAAAGGTTCTTTTTGTCCCAAATAGGGCTCTACCAATCTGTCATTTAAATTGCTTTCTTTTTGTTTTGATTATTCATGAAGATAAATACCTCATTATTAAAAGTATAACTTGTTTTTTATATTATACAATAAATACTATTCTGATATATTTCTTTGGAAAGTGATACTTGTATCTTGGGAAATTCATTATGTTTAATGCGTTTACTGAGATGTTTAATTTATGCTGATGAATAGAATTTTCCTTTTTGTTTTCATACTGGGGATTGAACCCAGGGGCATTTTACCACTGAATTGTATCCCAGCTCTTTTTATTTTTTTATCCTGAGACTGGGGTCTGGCTAAATTGCTCAGAGTGACCTCAAACTTGGAATCTTCCTGCCTCAGCCTCTGGAGTTGCTAGAACCACAGGCATGGCCACTGTGTCTGGCTTTTCTCTCTCTCTCTCTCTCTCTCTCTCTCTCTCTCTCTCTCTGATACTGAGGATTGAACCTAGGGGTACTGTTGACCACTGAGCTACATCCCCAGCCCTTTTAAAGTATTTTTGATTTTGAGGCAGGGTCTTGCTCAATTGCCCAGGCTGGCCTCTAACTTGTGATCCTCCTGCCTTTCTCTTAAATGACCTTTCTGAGAAAGACCATCATAGGTTTGTACCAAGATAAGGTTGACTAGTTAACCATAATATTCTTTTATAGACATTCTAAAAACTGACTTTTAGAGAAGAGAGAGAATTTGAATGGCTGATTTACTTCTATGCTTCTCCTTTTACTCCCAAGTATAGGATAGTTCTCTGTTTTGGACATGCTCTCAAGATGCCCATAGAGCGCCCTGCCTGGTCTTTGCCCTGTAGTAGGCTTTAGTTGAACAGAGACAAGTAGTTTTTCTGGTGTTTGGCCTGCTCTGTTAGGTGAGAGAACCTTTTTTTTCTCTGTTTTCATAACTGCTTATTCTATCGTATGTCCTTTTTTCTCTTTCCAGAGTTTTCCTGGAAGCTGGGCTCCTGAAAACGCAGCACTGGAACAGATGGATAATGGAGACTGGGGCTATATGGTGAGTAGTTCTTGCAACTGCACTTTGAAGGCTGGAAAATTATTTTTGTACCTTTTTTCCCCCCTTATGTAGCCTTAGATATAACACATCTTACAAGAATGCAAATTAGGAACTTGTGCAACTCCTTCTCCCTTCAATTTGTTTAGATGTAGTTTTTTGGAGGGGGGTGTTGCTTTGTTTGGTGTTTTAATGGAAGCAGACTTAGTATGGACTCTTAAAGCAACTTTTAATAATCATTTATTTGAGAGAGAGATCCCTTTTTGATCTTTAAAGTATGTTACTCTTAAACTTTATGGAGTGGTGATACTAAAGGATCTAGTAGGTGATGGAGTGGAGGACATTTTCTTGTGGCCAGGGAGATGACAGTTGAGAATGTGCCTCTTCTCCTTTTTGTGTGTTCCTGTGTCTCCCTCTTTTTCTCCTCCTCTGGTAATATTTTACTTTCTTAGTATCTGAACATTACCTGCATCTTTACTTTTTCTTAAATATGACTTCTAAGAGAAAGATATGTGTTATTTAAAGGGTTTTGTTTCTCACATTAAAGGTCAGATTATAATATTAATGTTACAAATGTGAATACACTATCAAGTAATCAAATTTTAAAATTACTACTACTCTTCCAGTATGTATTGGTTTAGTGGCTAGGTTGTGTTGACCCAGGTGTGTGTGTGTGTGTGTGTGTGTGTGTGTATTTAAATATTCATTTTCTTTTTAGTTATAGGTGGACACAATATCTTTATTTTTTTAAATTTGGTGCTGAGAATTGAGCCCAGTGCCTCACGCATGCTAGGCAAGTGCTTTACCTCTAAGCCACAACCCCAGCCCACTCAGCAGTATATTTCAACTTAGTGTTTGACACTCTTATTTCCATAAAAAAGTTATCAAGATTAGGTATGCACAAAGTTTTATTTTTAAAATTGATTTTATGATTTGTTCTTTTTTGAGTGGGGAAACCTCAAAGAAATATTAAAAGTAGATATCTTTACATTATCAGATAATTTTATTTATCTTATGTTAAATTGAGCTAAGAAAACTGAAGATCTTAAAAAAAAAAAAACCTGAAAAAAAAATGAGTGTATTTTAGTTTTTCTTTTGATTTCCTATGACCCAAACACTTAGATACTGGTCCTGAAACTGTATGGCTCTGAAGTCATGCCCTTGATTATTAAGTCTTTGAAGAACTGAATGTATCCTTCTTTCTTCCCCTCATCCCTGCCCTCCACCAGGGATTGAACTGAGGGGACCTTTACCTCTGAGCTCCATTCCAAGCCTTTTTACATTTTATTTTGAGACAGAGTCTCTTGAAATTATTGGTGCCAGCCTTGAACTTGGGATCCGCGTCTCAGCCTCCCAAGTCTCTGGGATCACAGGCATATGCTACTATGCCCAGTTCCTTCTTTCTTTTCTATTGAAGCAAATGTTAGATCCCTTAATCTGTGTGGGCTTATCATTGAAAGTAAAGCCATTTGCATTATAGGTTTGTCAAATATGTTATAGTTTAAAGGAATTTTAGTACTAGCTTTGCTTGTTACTTTTAATTTTCTTAATTTGTCAAAGTTAGGATTTACAAAATTTCAGGTGACTGATTATCTTTTAAAAAATTTCAGATGACTGACCCAGTCACATTAAATGTAGGTGGACACTTGTATACGACGTCTCTCACCACACTGACGCGTTATCCAGATTCCATGCTTGGAGCTATGTTTGGGGGGGACTTCCCCACAGCTCGAGACCCTCAAGGCAATTACTTCATTGATCGAGATGGACCTCTTTTCCGATACGTCCTTAACTTCTTAAGAACTTCAGAATTGACCTTACCCCTGGATTTTAAGGAATTTGATCTACTTCGGAAAGAAGCAGATTTTTACCAGATCGAGCCCTTGATTCAATGTCTCAACGACCCAAAGCCTTTGTATCCTATGGATACTTTTGAAGAAGTTGTGGAGCTCTCTAGTACCCGGAAGCTTTCTAAGTACTCCAATCCAGTGGCTGTTATCATAACTCAATTAACCATCACCACCAAGGTCCATTCCTTACTAGAAGGCATCTCAAATTATTTTACCAAGTGGAATAAGCACATGATGGACACCAGAGACTGCCAGGTTTCCTTTACTTTTGGACCCTGTGATTATCACCAGGAAGTTTCTCTGCGGGTCCACCTCATGGAATACATTACAAAACAAGGTTTCACGATCCGCAACACTCGCGTGCATCACATGAGTGAGCGGGCCAATGAGAACACAGTGGAGCACAACTGGACTTTCTGTAGATTAGCCCGGAAGACGGATGACTGATCCCCAGCGCTGGAGAAGTTCCTGGAAACTGACTGTCCCGGAAATGGAAGAGACTTTTTTTTTTTTTTTTAAATCCATGTGGGGTTTTTTTTTTTTTTTTTTTTTTTTTTTAATATTTGTATTTATTTGAAGGCATTGAGAACTGAGAAGGAAGTTTTATGCTTTAGCAGACTCTTCCATGTTTTGTTTCCTTTACCCTGAGTATGCATGTGCCTGTTCTGAGTCTCCAGATACCTTTTTTATAAAAAGAAATCTGAAAATCATTATGGTATATAATCTATCCTTAACAGAGCTTTTTTTTGTTTATTACAGTGCTAAAATGATTTCTGATAAAATGGCCCCAAATAACTAGAAGGCTAAAAATACAGGAATGAAAGAAAAAGCAGAATACTCATGATGCCTTTGAAAAAAAATCAAATATCATGTAGGGTGACCTAGTTTCCAAAACAATAAGCAGTATTAAAATAAAGGAAAACTGTTCCAATCATTTAAAGGTACTTATTAAGTACTGCTTTTCACAGTTATGACAACTGTTACTTTCTATGCATATAAATCAAGCAACCAAATATCTGTAGCCATGGAAATGTCTGACTAGAAATATTTATATTGGATTCTGAATACAAAATGTCCCTGTGGTAGAAATCTTACTTCTTATGCCTGGTGCAGTATAATTCCCAAGTGTTCTGTCTACCAGGAAAAAAAAAAAAAACCTAATAAAAAATGAAATAAGAAAATTAGATCTGTATTTATTGGTGGTTGTTATTACTTAAAGGAGAAAAATCATATTCATTGTCTGAAGTATGCATTGTTTATGTCCTACTCTTTGAGAGGACTCAATGGAACCTTAGATTGTAGTTTATAAGAACTCTATTGTGTCATTGAAGCAAGGATGGATAGAATTTGTCTCAAAGTCTAAAAGAGTGCATATTTGAATGGTGAACGTGCTGTTTGACAAACTTTCCATTGGCACTTATATTAAAGATTACAGATTTTTCTTCAGTTGTCATAGTGCTGAATATGACTCATTATTTCAGTTTTGTCCTAAGCACGGGGACAAGAATGACTAGCTATTTTATCCTCATATATTGTGGTTACCCACAATTGCATGTTATTATCAAAGCTAAGTTTATTTCTAAAAAGAAGAAATAAACTGTTGTAAATGAAGAAGAATCTGGAATAGTTGGGGAAATGTATGTAATTTTGTTTATTTCATTGTAGTCTCTCTGCCCCCCCCCCCCGTCCCCCACTGGAGATTGAATCCAGGCTTCATGCATCCTCAAAGCTATATTCCCATCCCCCCCCCCCTTTTTTTTAAGAGAGAGAGAGAGAAAGAATTTTAATATTTATTTTTTTAGTTATCGGCGGACACAACATCTTTGCCTGTATGTAGTGCTGAGGATCGAGCCCGGGCCGCATGCATGCCAGGCGAGCGCGCCACCACTTGAGCCACATCCCTGGCCCCTCATCCCTTTTTATCTTACTTTGAAACAGGGTCCTGCCAAGTTGCCCAAGGTGTCCTTGAATTGGAATCCTGTTGCCTCAGCCTTCCAGGTAGCTGGGATTATAGGGATGTACCATGCCACTGGCCTGGCCTGGTTCTGGTCTTATTTTGCATTTGATTCTATTTCTTCAAAGTTACTCACAGGAAGGATTGTGTTAATTATAGTGAGACTTCCTGGTTTGCTAGCACACCTTATAAAAAAGGAAGGCATATAACTTCTGCCCTGTTTTCTAAGGGAAGAGTGGAACTCTTGAGACTCTGTGCCCTGGAGCAGGCAGGTCACTCTTTTTCTCCTCCTCTCTGTGAAAATATTCCAAGATTCTCTCTATGAAAAGATAAGAACATTTACTTTGCTAACTTTTCCCCATGTCTTCCTGAAAATTTATTTTAAGATTTGATAAATTACCAGAAACCTGTAATCAACCCATTTTCATCATCTTCAGACTAAGATTCCTTAATGTTGTTGACAGGTTGCTCTGGTTTTGGTAAATTGATGTACTAGTCAAGGCTACCACTTTAGAAGATTGGCTCTCATTTCAAATTGAGTGATGGTTGAAAAAAAAAAATCCCCAACTGTTTAGTTGATTACTATTGGTTATTTTATAACTTGGATCTCCAACTTTGTAATAGTGGTCGAATGTATTTCTCATAGGCAGGGTTCTCCTGTTTTTAGAAAGAGATCAATATGAAGTAAAATGATTGTAGTTAAAAATAGTTGGGGAAATAGGAATATACTAGTTGCTCTAGTTGCCCAACTTACTGGAGATATCTGCTTTGGTAAATTTTCTCAGGTTTACTAATTATTAATAACTAAAGGATTGTTTATATAAGTAAATTGGGAAAAGCAACTGCTGAAACTTTTATTCAATTTCATTTGTTAGTTGATAATTTGAGTGTTTTATCTAGTTGGATAATTGGAAATGGTATGAAAAAATGTCCCTTGATTATGTTCGGGTAATTTTAAACTATTGTGTCTGTTTCTATGAAGTTTCTGATCATTCTCACTGCAGAAGAGGTTGTGTTTTTTTTGTTTTTTTGTTTTTTCCTGTCCTGGGGATTGAACTCAGGGCCTCTACAACTCATGCTAGGCAGGTGCTTTACCACTGAGCTACATTCTCAGCCAAGAAGAGTTGATTTTTAAAAGTTGATACTTCAGTGCATCCTTAGGGCTTTGTATTTTATTTAGGTTACACCAAGCATAGGCATTTCTGGAGGACAGTGTGTTGGAATGTTTGTGTCCTTTTAAACCTGAGGATAAATGCTAAGTGTAGCTTAGTAGTGGAGTACTTGCTTAACAAACATTCATGATGCCTTGGGTTTGATCCCCAGCCAAAAGAGTGAGAGAGAAAAACTGATTTGGCTTTGCTATATCTGAAACAAAGGTCTAGTACAAATGCTACAAGTGGATATGGTCCCCCACCCACCCGCTTTTTTTTCTTTTTTTTTATTGTGGGAAATTTCAAATATCCAACAAACGGTAGAGAGAGTAGTGTAGTGAACACCAAAATACCTACCAAGTGACCAAATTTAATAGCTCTTCACGCCCCCTTTTTATAGACTATTTTGAAGTAAATCACAGATCATATCTCATAGATACTACTTCAGACTATGTCTAAAAGATGACTCACACACATATATGTATATCAATTTTAATTTTGCCAATATATGCTATAGAACCATTGTAGTGCTGCTTGCTCCTTGATTACTGTTGGTTATTTCATAGCTTGGATCTCCAACTTTGTAATAGTGGTCGGATGTATTTTTCATAGGCAGGGTTCTCCTGTTTTTAGAAAGAAATGCATTATTAAGCCAAAATATTTCTGCCAGGATTAATGATTTTTTTTTTTACTTTCAAATTTAATGTTTAGCTTCAGAAAAGTAACATTCCATAAGATTCTTAATTTCTCGAATTATTTTTTAAATTCATTTTGTGTGAGCATATGGAGAAACATTTTTCCAAAGGGCACCCTTCCTTTCTCATTGCAGCTTTTAAATTGTGAATGCAGGTGGCCAATTTAAAAAAAAAAAAAGAAAGAAAGAAAGAAAGAAAGAAAAAGAAAAGCTAAACCAAACAAAACAGCTTATCTTTGCTTTTGGAATTTAATACAAATAAAAGGCCTGACTCTTTGAGGCTCTTTGAAATTGAACATGAACCACAAAACAAGAAAACCAGAAAGCAGAATCAAGTAAGCAGTATTCTGTGTCTGAATAGGTTTTCCCATTGTTCTCTAATGCAGTGTCTAGATTCTTTCCTTTATAGAGTTCTAGCCTCATTTTTTATAATATTTACTTGGTTTTGCCTGTTTATGCAAAAACTGTAAGCTTCAGGGTCTGTGATTCTTGTTCTCCACTGGTTTTTGTTTGTTTGTTTGTTTTTGGTGCTAGGGATTGAACTCAGGGGCACTTAACCACTTTGTCACATCTCCAGCCCTTTTTATTTATTTTGAGACAGGGTCTTGCTAAATTGCTTAGGACCTCAATAAGTTGCTGAGGCTGGCTTTGAACTTGTAATTCTCCTGCCTGAGCCACTGGGATTATTGGCATGCGCTGGTGTACACACCTCCACTGTATTTTTAATACCTAGAAGTTTCTGCCACCATAGTATAAGCTCAATAGACACTTCCTGGATGCAGGAATGACTAAGTCAATAGATGTGTTTAACACACCTAACTTCTACTAGGGCATATTTTTACAATAGAACAATTGGGGAATAATAGGATTCATGATTTGAAATTGTCCCCAGTGGCTCCTTCACTCCTTGTCTCCATAGGGAATCTCTTAGATGTGAGTTCATGTAGGGAGGAGGAACTGTTTGTAGTTTTCTTTGGGGTAGCTGGACTGAAATAGCATCCAGGTTGGGCAGAAAATCAAAAAAGCAGAAACCATGGCTAGACTAAACCAAGAGAGAGCACACCATCCTGTCCAGGGAGAAAAGCTCACCATAGCCTGCCCCAGACAGAAGAGACTCTTCTGTGATTTTAAGACATTCAATTCAGCACAGCACTTTACTTTCAGTAGAAAAGCCACTGAAATACACTCCCATTTGTACTTGTGTATCTACATGGCATATTTCAACATAGCTGCTGTTTTAATTTGTTTAAAATACTTGTAATGTGCCTTTTTTACTGTGCAAATGAGGGAAAATGTCTCTTTACTGCAGCTTCAAAATTATCTATATTAGGTCAGAAAAATACACTTTAAAAGTTCTGGTGTTTTCTATAGGAACCAGAAATGTATTGTAAAATCATGTGGCAATATATTAGTGGTCAAGTGATTGTCATTTTGATTAACTGGAAACAAGGTCATTTGTAACCACACATTCCTAAATTGCTATGCATGAAAGAGTCATATTGCTGTTCCTGTCACCTTTTTAGCAAGGCAATGTATAGTAGGATATGAGAGTCTGCTGCATTTGTTTGCAGTGGGCTCCTTTGTCTGTGTAGGTTATAAAGCCATGGTCATTTATCCCATAAATGTGGCGTGTCTACTCCATGACAGGTTCTGGAGTTAGGCAGGGGAAGGCTCCACCCTTACTTGCCATCAGGCCGAAGAAAAGTGAATGGGATGAAGTGCATCAGTATTTTACCACATCTGTTTAATGCCGTGGGTCAGTCATACCTCATTTAGAAAAGGCTGCTCTCATGTGGTATCCAGATTGAAGTCTTTAAAGGTGAAAACCAAGAACGCCCCCACCGTTCTTCAGTGACCATGAGAAATCTGGAGAACTGGAATGTTTCCTGTGTTTTCAGTAAAACTGGACTGACCTCTGCGTGTTAGCATTTCTTATCAGGTAAACAGCAGGGCAGGTTCTTTGGAGCATCAAAGGGCATATGTATATCTTTGGACCATAAGAACTAGGCTGGGCTAGGCAGACTGCTTTATTTTTATGTCAGGATTTAAATGTTAGAAAGGAGAGATGACTATAAAAGAAACACTCTGGAAGTAGGCAAACTGTATTAAGTAAGCAGTAAATACATTTTCCTTCAGTAAATTGTTTATATTTCCTTGTAGATTTCAAAGAATGCCTTTCTGGGGATGGGGATTGACCAAACAGATTGGCCACCTGAGAGCTGTTCTGGGGGTAACTGGTTGTGTTATAACTTCAGAGGATCATGTTAAATTAAGCTATGAGGTATGACAGTACAAATTGTTAAGAGCAAGTCTAACACTGTGCCAAGTGTGAATGAAAGCCTGGGAACTGCCAATTTGATGAGCTGTTAAGACACCTTTTTTTTCTGAAATTGGACTGAAGAGATAGAAAAGCAAGTGTTACCATGTGAACAACATATTTGCATTATACATCTCTTTTTTTTTCTTGGTACTTGGGATTGAACCCAGGTGTGCTCTACCACTTAGCTACATCCTCAGCCCTTAAAGATTTTTTTTTTTTTTAATTTTAAGACACAGCGTTACTAAGTTTGCCCAGGTTGGCCTTGAATTTGCAGTCCCCCTTCCTCAGCCTCAGAGTCTGGGGCTGATATAATAGGCGTGCGCCACCATACCTGGCTTTACATGATAAATTTTTAAAAATCTAGCACTACAAAAAAAAGAAAAAAGATCTGTGTACCTATAGACTTTTTGTTTTGACCATCTTTCAGGTTTGCTGTTAAACATTGGTTCCCCACATTCTTAACTACAGAATTTATTTCCTTGTTCCAGTTAAGGCATTTATTGACATTTGCAACTTATCCCAGCTAGGCTGGGCACAGTCTAGGACCCTCGCCTTACATAGTTGGGATTTTATGAGTCCTCCCTCTCTTCTTGCTGTTAAACATGTAGAGTGTTCTGGTATTCTCTCCCAGTAGAGCTAGGGATCTTGTTGCCGTAACCTTTGTAATTATCATTTTTGTGCCTCTGCTGGCTACCATGGCTTTGAAGCAGCCTTCTATGCTCCTGAGATTGCCAAGAAGAGGCATCTCTTGCAGGCAGTCAGGTCTGAGTGAGACACCCCCTCAAGTTTCCTGTCACCTCTGAATGCCCACTTTCATCTACAGAACACTGAGAGTTAAAAGACTGAATATAAGATGGTTAAGTCACCGCTGTGATTTATCTTCTTATTTTTGTTACTTAAAAGCCAGCTTACCACAGTGTATATATGCTCTTGGGTACGTCAAGGCATGATTTAGAGCTTCGGCTTCCCTCCTAATTCCCTTTACTAAGTTCTGAGCAGTGCATCTGCTGATTACAGTTCCTGCCAGGCCACACTCCTACTGCTGGTATCTTTAATGTATTCTCTAAAAATATTTTAAACAGACATTCTGTATCAAGCGATTTTCAACTTAATGGAAATCAGAGGTGTATTTACTGCTTGTTCTCTGCTCTCTTACATAATTTATAATGTGTTCCACTCGACTACCTGAGCATTGCTTGGTGACTCCCGAGCCCACTGGAACAGACGTCCATAGACATTTCCATCATAACAGCCAAGTGCTGAATTCAAACACTGGTCGCTGAAGTCAAATGCATCAGTTAACAAGATAGCATCCTTCCTGAGACAGGAAACAAGACTGTGAGTATTTTGGATGTGCTTACAAATCTAATTAATCTAGAGTGACAGATAGCAACACCTAATTAGAACTTGCATCAGTATTCACTTTTCGAACAATTCAGCTTTTTTTTTTTCATCAATTATACATGCACAGTATAAAGAATCAAAAGAGTTCTTTAAGGCTTGCTATTTAAAAAACAGCATATCCTGGTCTCTCTCCTAGAGGCAGTTTCAAGAGGCTGATATTTTGGTGTTTTACTAAATACCTGGTTTGAATTGCTAGCAACTTTAAAATAATTTTTTTTTAATTTGTTCTTTTTAGTTATACAAGACAGTAGAGTGTATTTTGATATATCACACATACATGGAGTATAACTTCCCATTCTTGTGGTTGGACATGATGTGGAGTTTCACTGGTCATGTGAACATAGGAAAGTTATGTCCGATTCATTCTACTGTCTTTCCTATTCCCATCCCCCTCTCCCTGCTAGCAACTTCTTGATGGTTCAAGTGTGGATGTTATATGTTGACTTCCCATTACAGAAGATAAGGATTTACTTTGAGCATCTTTCTCTTCACCCCTTCCTCCCCTCTCCCATATTCCATTCCCTTGGCTTTCCTGCCTCCTAATAAAGTTGTAATTTTGGCCAGACCAAATTCAGTGTTGACATTCTGTTGACTATAAGGCATTCAAGCATTGGAGGTAGCTAGGTACTGTCCTTAATCTGTCTTGGATGATTCCTCATTGTTATGACCTCCCCACCCCCACCTATTTAATGTCTCTCATGCCCCTAGTGGTCTCATTTCCCTCCTTAGGCAGCTGAAATTCCATTGTCCATTATATTTACCCTCTCAAAAATAGATTCATCAGTTTTTCTTGCTTTGTCATATTAGTTTAGCAAAGCCCATCCCTTGTTATCTCCAGTTTTCCACCAACTTCTTGCCACCACTTTTGTAGTTTTACATATGGCTGTGAGAACCAGCCTAAGGGTTCAAGGGTTCAAGTGGGCCTGGTGGCTGTTTTGCAATCATATTACATTGTTCTAGTTCTTTCTCTTTTATTTCTTTGTTCTCATAATTGTCTTCCGTCCTCAAATTTACACTACTCACCTCCCCATCTTTCTTTCTTTCTTTTTTTTTTTTTTTTGGTACCAGAGATTAAACCCAGGGATGCTTAACCACTGAGCCTCATCCCCAGCTCTTTTTAAAATTTTGAGACAGGCTCTCACTAAGTTGCTTAGGGCCTTGCTAAGTTGCTGAGGCTGGCTTTGAACTCATGATCCTTCTGCCTCCTAAGCTGCTGGGATTATAGGTGTGCACCACTGTGCCTGCTCACTTCCCCATCTTTCTTACACAAATGACTTTGCATCTTATTTCACAGATAAAGTGGAAGGAGTAAGAGACTTTCCACAGTTCCTACCCCTGCGTTTATACACAGTGCCCCCAGTCTTAGTAAAGGTCACCTGTCCAGGATCCCAGCTCAGGCCAGTCAGTCCCTTCTGTGTACTAGCTGCCTTCTGCCCTTGTCTACTGGAGAATGATATTCCAGAAATTATCTTGCCTTACTCCTACAGTGTCAAAATTCCCCTTTCTGCTGGATCATTTCCATTAATATACAGTCATGCTGTCATCTCTCTAATCTTAAAAAACAAGCTTTTGACTCAGTTTCCCTTTCTATCTTAACCCCATTTGTTGGCTCCCTTTTATGACAGTACTTGCAAGTATTTTGCTGTCTCTGCTGGGTATATTATATCTCCAGTGTTCCCGTTCCTCCAGAGAGAATGGATTCATTCATGTTCTCACCTCCACCACTCCACTGACAAGGTCACCTCTTAATATTTTTGTAGGGTCCTGAGACTCAGTACGTGGACCTCTCTCTTCATGTTGTCACTTCCTGTGGTATCATCTCTCTCATGGCTTTAAATATCAACCATATGCCAGTAACTTCCAAATTTATCCCTGTGTGTCACATCTGTATTTGGATTTCAAATAGGCTTTTCCAACATAACATGTCTAAAACCAAACTCCTAATCTTTTTCTGTCCATCCTGCTCAAACCTGGCTCTCCTGTAGTCCTCCCCATTTGATTCTTCTGTCTCACCCCACATCTATCTAATCTCTCAGCACATCCTGTTCTACTTTCAAAATATAAAACTTTGATCACTTCCCACCACTCCACTGCTCCCACTCTGGTCCAGGCCAGGATCTTCTCTCCCTGCTGCTTTCTATTCCCCTCTCACCAGGTGGGGATTGAACCCAGGGCTTCACATATGCTAAGCAAGTGACCAGGTGCTCTCAGCCCTGCTTTTCTTTTTTTGTTTTGGTACCCAGGGTAGAATCTAGGGGCTCTCAACCACTGAGCCACATCCCCAGCCCATTTTTTATATTTTTTTTTAGAGACAGAGTCTCACTGAGTTGCTTCAGCCCCTTCTTTTTATTCGAAATTCTTAGTATGGCAGCTGGAGTAATCCTTTAAAAATAGATATTGGATTATTTCTGATTGTGACTGTCCTGTGCTCAAGTCCTCCTAGGCTCATACAGAGTAAAAGCATTGACCTCCAACATTTGTACCTGTCCATACCTGGAAACCTTCCCCTGACCACCATACGGCAGCCATATGACACTCCTCAGGTCTTTCCTCAAATATCATCTTCCCATAGGCTTCCCTGCTCCCTCACCTTCATATTCCTATCCCCTTTCCCTGGTACCCTTTCCTTTCTGGCACTGATTAACACTTCACAGGGTGTATTGACAATGTGTGCACATGCGTGTGTGTGTGTGTGTGTGTGCGTGTGCGTGTCTCTCTCCTCTTTGTAGGCACTGTGCCCTTTTCAATCTGAAACTTGTATTTTTCTCATGAGGGATATTTACTTGAATTATTTTATTAATAAATTACCCTGCCAAAAATAAAATAAATTGCCCCTTTCCATTTTTTCCTGTCTTCCTCTTTCTTTTTTTCCCCCTAGACCTGCTTTTTAGAAGATGAATAGCTAGGATAGGTCTTCTTTATTTTTTAAAGATCTTTTCTCTCGTTTTTTTGTCCTTTTCTGCTTTCTTTCTGTGAGCTCTCTGCGACTGTATCTTCCAGTCCTTAAATTGAGTTTTTCATTTCTACTACCTTTTTGTTAAATTTCAAAGAGCTCTTTTTTTTCTTTCTTCTCTGAATATTACATTTTAAATAATTACATTCTGGTTCTTATTTCATAGTTGGGGTATCTCTTATTAATTCTTTGAGGATATTACTATTTTTTTTTCTTTTTAAAGCTTTCTACTCACTACAGATTCTCTTCGTGTCCTCTGAGTTGCCTTGTTCTTGCTCCTTCTTTTATGTTAGCAGCATTCAGTGCATCTGGTGATCCCAGAGTGTCTGGTCATAGCTAAGAATGGGGCATGAACTAGCTCAGTACAAGTGTGTATGTTGATTGTTAGCGGGGCTCACTGTGGACTATGCCCCTGCTCCCTTGGATGGTCAAATTCTTCAGAGAAGGATTATCTTGCTATTCTCCTACAGGGTACCCGCCTGGGTGTCACTCTCCTAGTACCAAGAGGTTAATGAGCACTGGAGGAGGAAGTGTTAATATTTGGCTTGTGAAATCCCTGCTTTCTGTAGGGTAGCCTCATCCTCTACTATGCCTAATGTTCCCCATTCCCCTTGGCCCTATCAGAGTAGGACCGGGAAAGTCACAGGGGAGGAGGGGAACCGAGGTTTCGGATCTCTCTGAGCTGAACTTCCACCATCCTGTCAGTCCCATCTCACTCTCATCCCCATTGCCTGAGGTACACAGTGCTTCTCCTTGGGGTTCTCTGCTGTGACTTGTCTAAGTCATTGTATGCCCATTTATCCAACTTTCATTTTCCTCTCCTGTTCTTTTTGTAGGCTCATGCCTTTAAAAATTTTCTAATTCTCTTGCAGTTGTTTAAAGAGTGCTTCCTAGCATGTGCAATGCCATAGGCTCAATTGCTAGTGCCAGATAAAAACAAAACAGAATGCTGTCAAAAATATATCTGAAACAATTATGCCTGGGGTATTAAACTTTCCCTAGTCTAGGGAATCCAGTGGCAGACACCATTAAGAGCATAATTAAGTACAGCACAATTCAAGCCCAAATGTGTCTTTAGGAAGGAACAAAATTAAGTGCATTTGTGTAGTCTACCTTACCTGAGATTTACCCCCGACTGCCATCTTTACCCCAGCTGAGATTTTACTAACACATTTTAAATAACTAAAACCCCTTTGGGTCAATTCATTAATGTGACACAGAGAGCTGGTTTTAGTGTCACTTAGAATAGTGTGCTGCCTTTCATTTGTCATCTCAGAAGTCTGAGAGAGATAATGACTAATCAAGGCAGAGAACTGTGACAAAGAACCGTTAAGCATGGACTCTGTAACATACCTAATTACCCTGCAGTAGTAAGGTTACTTAGGAACCATAATGTAAGTAAATCATTTTGTGGGTTTGATGCTTGCGTGAGTTGGCAGCTTGCGTCAGCGCTGTCTTGTCTTGATTTGTAAGTCTCTGGAGCAAAGGCAAGCACTTAGAAATGCTGTTTGCAGATAAAAATGAAACCCCCAAAACTCCGTACTTAAAGATGTTAAGGTGATATTTTGTATTTTATCATCACCACCAAGCAGGACCAGAATATTATTTTTATCATGTGCTTTTAAAATGCCAAGTGTTTCAGAAAGACACATTTGGGCTTGAATTGTGCTATACTTAATATGCTCTTTTTTTAAAAAAATTTGTTCTAATTAGTTACATATGTCAGTGGAATGCATTTTGACAAATTATACATTAATGGAGTATAACTTCTCATTCGTCTGATCGTACATAATAGAGAGTTGCACAGGTCATGTAATCATATTATGCATATAGGGTAATAATTTAACACGCTCTTAATGGTTTCCACCAGTGGATTGCCTAAATTAGGGAAAGTTTAATACCTGGGCCATCATTGTGTCAGATATAGATATAGATATAGATAGATATTTTTTGGTACCAGGGATTGAACTCAGGGACCCTTAATCATTGAGCCAAATCCCCAGCCCTTTTTTGTATTTTATTTAGAGACAGCATCTCACTGAGTTGCTTAGGGCCTTGCTAAATTGCTGAGGCTGGCTTTGAACTTGTGATCCTCCAGTCTCAGCCTCCTGAGCCACTGGGATTACAAGTGTGTGCCACTGTGCCCAGCAGTCAGATTATATATATATAAATGGACATAATACCTTTATTTTGTTTATTTATTTTTACTTGGTGCTAGGGATTGAACCCAGCGCCTTGCACGTATAAGGCAAGCGTTCCACCGCTGAGCCACAACTCCAGCTAGGCAAGCACTCTACTGCGGAGCTACATCCCCAGCCCTGTGCATATTTTTTTAAAACCTTTATTTAATTTTTTAAAAATATTTATTTTTTAGTTGTAGTTGGACACAATGCCTTTATTTCACTTATTTATTTTTATGTGATGCTGAGGATTGAACCCAGGGTTCTGCACATGCCAGGCGAGCGCTCTACTGCTGAGCCAAACCCCAACTTATTTAATTTTTTTAATAATTATTTTTAAAAGTCTTTTTAATATTTTTATTTATTTGTATTTATATGGTGCTGAGGATCGAACCCAGGGCATTGCACATGCGAGGCGAGTGCTCTACCGCTGAGCCATAACCCCAACCCCCTTTATTTAATTTTTAAAAAAAATTTTTTTATGTAGTGCTGAGTTTAAAACTCAGTGCCTCACACATTTTATTTAATTAAAAAAAAATTTATGTGGTACTGAGTTTTAAACTCAGTGCCTCACACATGCTAGGCAAGCACTCTACACTGAGGTACAGCCCCAGCCTCTGTGCATATTTTTTTAAAACTAAGTTCATAATCTTACTGTTTGTGTGTGTGTATGATGTTATGTTTATTTATTTTATTTAGATTTATTCCTAACAGTATAAAATAACCTCACAGTATAAGATTCTTTCAAATTATTAAATATTTTTCATGGACCCCAATTTTTTTTTCAGTACTGAGCCCAGGGTCGCTACTACTGGGCTATATCCCCAGCCCTTTTTTGACAATTTGTGATGATTTAATTGAACAAACATTTACTAGCTACCATCTATCTAAGTGCCTATGTTTTGTAATAAATAGCACGTAAATTACTGTATATTGTTAGAAATAAAAAGAATTTGGTTTATTTTCTTTAACTCTGTCATGGAAATTTTATTTTACAACAGTTTCAAGTTTGTAAAATTTTTTAGTGTTGCTGATAATGAGAACTATCAGAGGATGTAGGGGAAAGGCCATACCTCTAATGTATAATAGGCGTCATATTTTCTGCCCCATGGGGGTCTCAAAAGAGTGTATTCTCAAGTTATCCTATTTTTTTTTTTTAAAAATATTATTGACAATGGTAAATAATTCATATTTTTAAAATTTGTTTTCTAGAACCCTGATCAGGTTGGCCTGTGGTTTTGATGTTTTTCAAGTAATTATTTAGATTATGTGAAATGACTGGATGAAAGAAAGCATTTGATTAGTATTTCATGACTCCAGATTGTACTGCATTAATTCTACATATAAAAACTATTTGTATTATTGTTCTATGAATCAATATATAAATTACTTGAGTTTTAAAAAAATTTTCATCTTGTTACCAAGGCAGTAAAGTTTAGTCAACTTGGCAATTATTTGCTCGTGCACATTCAACAAAGACAGGGATATACCTAAAATAGTACTTAGACCTTCACCCACAGGTTAAGGGTGCATGCTCAGGCGTCAGAGAGGCCTGAGATTGTACCAACTCCTATTCTAGCTAATTATGTGACGTTGAGCAGGTTAACTCCCATAAGCCTGAATTTCCTCTCCAGTAAAATACAGAGATTAAGTCCATTTCAAAGGGCTCTAAGGATTAACTGAGATGATGTTTGTAAAAGCTTTGGGCACAGTGCCTGGGCACATAAGTACTCCTTAAGTGTTAGCTATGATTCAGACTGTTAACACATATTTACATGTGACATGCTTTATTTTATTCATATGCCTGTGACATTGTTCCTGACATGTTGACGATGTTGAAGAGGTCAATTGAGGTAGCTAACTTACTTTTAAGCATTTTTATTTCTAATTATTCTTCACTTGTTTCTTTCACTAAGCCTTAATACTTCATGTTGGCATAATAATGCTGGGATGCGAACCTCCCCAGGGCCCTTGCTGGTTTTGCCAGACATACCCCAGTTAGCAAGATCTTGGAGTTTGAGGTGACCTGTGAACTAACCTGTGAACTAGAATAGAGGGCTTTTCTCCGAAGGCTAATATCATGGTTTGAGGGCCTGCCACTCACCTGATCAGGAGGAGTAGGTCCAGGTAAGCTTTTCTTGCCATGTCTACTTGGGCCCCAGACAGAAAGCCATCGTGGAGAAAGTCTCCTGAGTTTGTCAAGATACCGTGTAAAGCAAAGAGGTCACAGAGGCGTTGGAGCACTTGCTGAATTGCTGGTTCCTTGTCTAGTTTCTCCAGAGCATCCGTGAAACTCTTCACAGTGATATAGTAGCAGTGTGCCTACAAAGACAAAGGTGTATCAGACACTGATAGATGGTTTCCAACTCCAGAAGTCACCCTGGAATCTTGGCAAGACAGATGAACACATTGCCACAGCTATATGCTTGCCAGAGGGCTGACAGCAGGCCCCCTCCCCTCCAGCTCTCTCAGGGTCTCCTTGAGCCTTTTTGGTACAGTGTTTATCTGTATACATGCACACGTGTGTGTCTGGCCCGTGGGCTCTGGAACTTGGCCTTTGGTATCCTCATTTTGCTTGGGGCAGCTTCAAGTAGAGTTGAAAGTAGACAGAGTGTCAGGTGTGCTGGTGGCTGGCTCCAGGGACTTGGAGGGCAGCATGTGTGTGTACCATGTGGTGGGAAAGTGAGGGTACAAGATGTAAAGGCAATTTATCCTAGCCATCAACCTAATGAGAGCCCCCTCTGCCAGATGGACTCCTTCCCTGGACCCCCTTCTCCCCATAGCCCAGCAACTAAAGGATTAATGCCTGTCTCAGCAGGAACCTTTAGGACCCTTTATCTCCTTCCCTTTTGGTTATTACCCAAAACAAGTGCACACCAGTATTTTATCAGGATACAAGTTGCTTGAGGAAGACGGGCTAAACAGTTTGAGACTTTCAAATTTGTATGTGTGCAGGGCACCTGGATGTCTTTTCAGAATGCAGATTCTAGCTGGGTGTGGTGTCGTACACCTGTAATCCCAGCTGCTCAGAAGGCTGAGGCAGGAGGATCACAAGTTCAAAATCAGCCAGCCTCAGCAAGTTATCGAGACTCTAAGCAATTTAATGAGACCCTGTCTCAAAATAAAAAGTAAAAAGGGCTGGAGATGTGGCTTAGTGGTTAAATGCCCTTGGATTCAATCCCTGGTACAAAAAAGAAAAAAAGAATGCAGAGTGAGAGTAGATCTCTGTCTTGTGATGTCCATGCTGCTGCTAGTAACTTGAAATAGCAAGGTTTAAAGTGTCTTGGGGTTCAAAAGAATTCCCCCTGCAGGACAAGGGATAGGGCAAGGCCATCTGAGGCAAGGGGAACTTTATGAGCAAAGGCTATACTTTCAGGAGGTAATTTCCTGAGGCCAATGCACTCTAATTTAATGAGGCAATGATGGGCACTTTGTAAGTTTGATGGACCCACATCAGTGAAGAGCTGTGAATGACATGGCCGGGGTTTTATTCTGTAGGGGCCAAGGAGTCACCAGAGCTTTCAGCAGGGCAGCGAGTGGTCAGGTACTCATTTGGAAAGAACCTGCCTTCCTCACACAGGTGCTGATAGCTCCGCTTAGGCAGCCAGCCCTGCTCCTCACTGCCGTGCTGGGTGTACAGCATTTGGAGGTGGACAATGATCAGATGGGTCCTGCCGCCCAGCAGCCTTCTGCGCTCAATCTGCATTGAGGGACAAAACTGGAGACACTGTACTTTTGTCACTGAAGCCCTGCTTTCCCTTGTCTAGCCCATGGACCACACCCAAAGGTTCTCCAGGCTCTGCTTGAGGAGTGAAGTGATGGTGAGCTGCCCCAGGACCCAGTTCTGTCTTGGAAAGCAAGATGAAGACCAGAAAGAGAAGGTGGCCTTTAGGCCATAGGGATAAAGTATGTCCTTATCGCTGGGTATCTCTTAAATTTTTACACATATCAGCTCAGTCTTCATAATAATCCTTAAAGTAGGTGCTGGTAATAGCTCTGTGTTGTAAAAAGAGACAGGCTCCGAGACTTAAGTTCCTTGCCCAAGGTCATATGGCTGGTAAGTGGTGACAACAAGAGCCAAACCAGGGCTGTACTCCTAACTGCTACCTGTGCTGCCAAAGCCACCAGGGCCTGAAGCTGGGTTTTACCAAGCACCAGCATTAGCTCCACGATCCTAGGAACTGACATCTCTCCTGGCAGAGCCTGACCTTAGAGGACCAAAGCCTGTCAGAGCACCTTTGTTGTACAGACTGGAAAGGTAAATCCCGCAGAGGGGAGGGAGTGCTTGAGGTCAGATGGCATGTCACGCACACAGCTGGAAGACTAGAACTTGGCTCATGGTTTTTCCTTGTCTATCCACCTACCAGTTTTGTCCCCTGCCCCAAGTTGTAGTAAAGTCATTCTCTACCTACACATTTCCAGTTTCCAGATGAGGCCTGGTTGGGCGCTTGAGGTTTCTGTAGAGTAGCGAACCCCACAAAGCACAGGAAGTATAGAACCCCTTCCCACTGTGATCTCGGAGACAGCTTGGCCACCATCCCCCCAGGAAGGCTTTTAGACTCACTCTTCTCTCACAAGCTGACTGAGCTTCCCACATTTTGTGCCCCTGAGCTTGAGGAGGACACAGCTTGCCTGTGGTGTGTGGCGCAGGAAGCCATCTTGACTCAGCCATTTTCTACTCTCTGACTTCATGCCTATGAGATCTCTTTCTTCATCCTTAGAGGAGAGATTCTGCTGGTCTCCTGCACAGGCTCACATGTGCTAAATGAAGGAAACTGGCGAGCAGCGTCTGGCCTGTTCGAAGGCAGGGCTTAGGTTTAGAAAATGAATAATGAGGGATTGTGGTTCCTTTTTTGGTCATCTGGTGAGAGTGCTGCCTGGGCTCACTCCATGTTGACAGGGCATTTAGTGTCCCTGTGGTGGGCTGTGGAGCTGAGAGCTGTGGCTACTGCCAGTGCCCACGAGTGTGGTGCAGGTGTTGGGTCACCAGGTGGTGCTCATGCACAGCCTGCCAGCCAGTCCTGCCCTCCCAGGGCCTCTGCAGACCTTCAGGCCTCTCCTGCTTGGCAACCATTTTGGGGGGTCCGAAGCCTGATGATTGGAGTGGCCGCTTTAGTCTTCAGTTGTTGGCATAGCCAGGGTTCCAGTTGCCTAAGCTCAAGAGGCATTCTTACTTCTTTCCCACCCCATGACTCTTGAGGCCTGTTCCTTCCTCTACCCCTTTACTATCTCTGCATTTCCCCACTTCTCTCCGTGGCCTCTGCCAAGTTCATGGTGGGGGCTGGTCCAGGCTGCAGCAGCTTCCTTCTGATTAACTTCCAGCCTCCAGTCCATTCCTCCCTCTGCAGCTTGCATGATCCTTCTGGAAGGAAACTCTGCTCCCTTCATTTTTGCCTGATGCAGACTCAGCCATGGCTTCCCGTCACAATGGAGACAAGACGCAGGCTTCTCACACTGCAGAAGGTCTCTCCTGTCTCCCCTCCCTGTCTACCCTCCTCTCCTTGATTCTTCCAGCTTTGGCTCCTCCTGAAAGGTCTGCATTTCCTCCCAAGCACTAGGACTTTTCCTGTCTCCTCTTCTTGTACCTGCTGCTCCCTTTGCTTGGAAACCTTCCTCTGTAAAGCTGCCATCTGCCCCCCCCCAGCCCCCTCATCCCCCACCACCCCCAGCATGCTAATTTCAGCTTATCCTTGAAGCCTCAGCCTGTATGCCACCCTTTCTGGGAAGCCTCAAGGTGAGTAGAGATGCACCTTCCCCAGAATCCCACAGCAGCCTATATTCCCCTGCCCAGCACTTCCTTGATAGGTGTGGGCAGCAGCTTCACCGTTTGAGCACCGAGCCCAGGGCTGCTGCAGAGTGGGTGCTCAAATATTTGCCGACTGACTGTGAATTATGCACAAACACAAACCATAGTGGAAATTGAATCAGACATCCAAGGATTGCCTGTGGGACTAAGGGGAAGCTTGACCTGCTTTTCTATCTGGGAGGAAATATTTGAACAACCTGAAGCAAATCCAATAACACTGCCTCATTACCTTTCCCCCCAAGAGCTGCCAGCAAGATTGCTTTGGAGTTAAGTCCTTTAATTAAAATACCCTGGACTAAAGCCTTAGAAATGAAATGAGGGCAGCCGCTGAGGCGCAGGCTTGGGGAATAATGGCACAGCCTGGATTTTCCCGGCAGGGTAGTCAGCTTGGAAAGACAAGCGGGTCCCTTGCAGCTTTGGCTGATAGGCAACTCACCTTAGCAGCCTGGAGGAGCATGACAGAAGTCTGGTTCCAAGCCTCCTGCTGGTCAGCCCCAGATTGCGTGAGGGTCTGTAGATGATGCACCGAGTCCTCTATGAGCCTGAAAACCAGAAAAGGGTCAGCTTCTTGACTGACTGGGAAAGATAACTGGTAGCTATGGGGGGCCCTCAGAAATACAAATTCTGTGTAGGACTTCTTATGTGTCATAAAGCTAAATGCTTGATAAACATTCTCTCTCAAGGAATACATTTCCTGTTTACAGTGGGGAAAACCTGAGTGTCAGAGAGGTTAACCAAATTCTCCAGGGTAACACACCTAGTAAGTAAGGAGTGGAGCCAGAATTTATTTTTGTTCCTTTTGGAACCCAGAGGTGCTTAACCACTGAGCCACATCCCCAGCCCTTTTTAATATTTTATTAGAGATAGGGTCTAGCTAAGTTGCTGAGGCTGGCTTTGAACTTTTGATTCTCCTGCCTCAGCCTCCCGAGCCATTGGGATTACAGGCATGTGCCACCACTATTGGCTTGGATTTTTTCTTAACCACCACATTTTAAAGCCTCAGAGATTTGGGCCAGGAGCATTCCCCTCTTTTTCATGCACATCCCAACCCAATACCAATGTTTTTAGGCCATTCTGTTGTTTGGCTTCCTATGATCTAAGGAAGAAAACAAAACAAAACAAAATTTGTTAAATGTTAGTGAGGCCTGTTGGTCACCCAGCCTGCTGCAAGGAACCTAAAAACAAAACCAGAAAACTAACTATTGTCCTCCAAGACACTAAGTTAGTCATTTGCCATTATATTAACCTTTAATCCCCTTTTGTTGTTTGTTTCCTGCATGACCATCCATAAGCCTTGAAACTTGTGTGTAAAGCAAACTATTAAGCAATATTTATTTTGCTTTGTCAGGGAGTACATAAGCAGATGTCACTCTGAGTTCCAAGCAAAGAGAAACACAATGGCATCTTAATTACCCAGCAGTCTTCTTTCCCCCAGTCAGTTCTCCCAAGTGAAAGTCAGTTCTTTGAGGTCTGAAGGTTTATTAGTGTATGGATAGATCCCTACATCTTAGAACAGTGCCTGGCATTTTGTAGGCACTGAATAAACATTTGTGGAATGAATGAATGAATGTCTCAAGTTCCTTGTGATCTCAAAATAACTATCAATCATTCCTGGGACCACAGGTTGGGATATGGGACCACTTATATAATAAAAATATATACTTTTTCCAGTTTGTTACTTTTGGCATTTTAGTGTTGGGCAGGGTGAGAAGCTTTTTCTTTATAGGTCATTAATTCTTTCCATCTCTCTGTTACGGTGTCTGTGCTTGGCTAGGCCTTCTCTTTATTCCAAGCTTGTAGTGTATTTAGTCATTCCTGACTGGTGGGTACCTGATAATATTGGTTGAGTGACAGAATGGATGACCCCTTGGTTTTGTCTATGTTTTCTGAAGTCTATCAGATGCTGGAATTAAAACAGAGTCCATCCTCTGCTAGAGTCATATTTTAGAAAATTATTTTTAGATTATGGACTATTTTCCAATTTAGAAGGATTGCTATATTTATTGTTATTGGTTTGCATATCAATATACATTGGTAGTATTTTCATATGGGTACATTTGTTGGATTGTGAGTTATTCCAGGAATCTGAGGACTTTTAAAATTTCTCTCATGGCAATAGGAGCTTCAAGGCCTGGGGAGGCTAGGGGTGGGACTGGTTCTAGAGGCTCTCTATGAACATGCACTGAAGGCCCTCAGAGAGGAGGAGCCTACCTCCCCTCCCCATGTGGGGTGCTGACTTCTCAGCGCTTCTCACCTGGTGGTCGCGTGTGCCCAGGCTGCAGTGTATAACTCTGGGCAGAGGAAGTCGGCTGCCTTCTGGGCTGGGCACCGGGCCAGGACAGGCCTGGCAAGATATTCGACAGACTGAGGTAGAGGCTTCTGTGGTGCAGAGTCTGAAGACACCTTGGCTTGCAGGTAGCTCTTTACCAGAAACCTGGAGGGTGGAAAGGGGGGTGGGGACAGGGGAGACAATGGGGCTCTGTGGGGCACCCGCCACCTCAGCTCCCAGAGACACACATCACACATTCTTAGCCTGGGCTTCAGCCTTCCTGTGGAAGGACCTGGGCCCAGACCTCCACCCAGCTGCCCTCTGAAGGGTTACTCCTCACCCCAGAGTCCTCTCCTGCCATCCTGCTGGGAGGCCCTCCGTGGGGCACACCCCAGGCTTTAACAACGAAATGTGGCTGCAGGACTGGGGCAGACCTCTTCAGGTCCAGAACATAAAGTCTTCTGAGATTCTATGCAAATTCAATCTTTTTGTGGGAATCTTGTGATTTTAGGATTTGTGATGACTTATACAGTGACTGTGGGAATTAAATTTTCTAAGTTGAAAGAAGGAGGATAGGTACTGACGTGAGTGGGAAGATTATAGGTGACTCTGAGCTGCTGCGTTCGTCAATGCAGTGGTTACAGGTTCTGGCCTCAGGCAGCCCTGGACTCTCAGCCAAGGCCTTCGTGATCTCTAGGATTGATTCACCTCCCTAAGTTCTCCATCTCTAGATGGGGATGATCATACTTACCTGATTGGGAGGTGGTTTGTGAAACTGAAAGATATTTATAAAGTGCTTGACACAGAGCTAGGCACAGAATGCCTAATGCACACTATTGTGTTCTTTTCATAATTTGAAAAAGTAAACCTGCAAATGTTACGTATTAAAAGTATATCACGTCACATTTGCCAGTGAACTCCTTTCTCCATGCGTACAAAAGTATTTGCCCCCTTCAGTCATCTGAGAATAAGTGAGTGTGAGAGGCTTTGTCAGCCTCAAAGAGGGTTGAAAAGAAACCACTTTTTTTGGAGCTGGGCATGGTGGTGCAGGCCTGTCATCCCAGCAGCTTTGGAGGCTGAGGCAGAAAGATCACAAGTTCAAAGCCAGCCTCAGCAAAAGCAAGGCACTAAGGAACTCAGTGAGACCCTGTCTCTAAATAAAATACAAAATAGGGCTGGGGATATGGTTCAGTAGTCAGGTATCCCTGAGTTCAATCCCTGGTACCTTCCTCCCAAAAAAAGAAACCACTTGGAGGCTGACTTGGCCATTGGCTCCTGCCTCTCAAGTTGGAGCCTCCTGTGTAAGATCTTCACTAAGCCTGGGATCCTGCATTGAGCAAAGCAGATATAGTCCCTGCCCTTGAGGAACTCCCAGTCGAGCTGAGGACCAGAACTAAAAGGTAAACAACACAAAAATGTAGACAATTATAGATTGTGTGCCACTGTACCTGGATGAGTGGACAATTTTAAGCAAGAGAAAGATATGATATTCTGTAGGCTTTGAAAAGATCCCTCTTGGATGCCTGTGGTGAAGTGGGACCTGGTGGAAGCAAGGGACCCTAGGTGAGAGACGGTGGCAGCCTGACTAGGAACAGTGGATGTGCAGACGAGTGGATTTGAGACCTGTCATGGGATTTGGACAGCCTCCAAATGGTGCTTGCCAAAGCCTTTCCCTCCCTCTGTGGGCATCAAACAGAAACCTCAACCTGAGCAGAAGCCTGGACAGGGGCCTGGGCCAGTCTGGTCCTTACCTGGCCACTTGAAGGTAGAGCACTGTATTCTCACCCTCATAGGTACAGGAGGCTGTCACTTGGGTGACCAATGATGGCAAACCACTCAGCTTTGAGTAGCCGTGTCCCCCGCAGGCCCTGCGACACAGCTCGGCCCCCTGGGTACACAATTCAGACATCATGGCCTTCATGCCTGTGCTCAGTGCGTGGAGCTATAAGAACAGGAAGAGGTGTCAGGTGGTGTAAGGGGATCCCACGCCTCCCACTTACCGAACATTTCCGGCCTGCTGAACACAACCCTGTGAGGTAAGGAGTGTTTCCTTACCTCACAGCTTTATGAATGAGAAGGCTGAGCCCCAGGCTGGGACTCACCCTGGATCACACAGGCACTGTAGCTATGGGGCAATAAGAACTAAGGAAAAGCTTCCCAAACAGTGTCTCCAGGATCTTTGGAGAGGGTGCTGCCTGGATTGGGCCCACCTCCCTTCAGGAGGTGTACAGTTTGGAAAACTGACCTGTGAGGGTGAGTGGGGTGCAGTGGTCTGAATGTGTCTGCCCCAAATTCATATGTTGAAATCCTAACCTCCAAGGTGATGGTATTAGGAGGTGGGGCCTCTGGGCAACAATTAGGTCATGAGGGTAAAACGTTCATGAATAGGATTAATGGCTGCTGTGGTTTGCATTGCCCCTCCAAAACCCATGTTGAAATGTAGTCATTTAAAAGTATTGGAGGCGGGACCTTTAAGAAGTGATTAGGTCATGGCTGCCCCACCCTTATGAATGGATTAATGCTGCTGTCATGGATGTGACTTGGTCATAAAAGAGAGCTCTGCCCCCAACACTCTCACAGGATCCTTTGCCATTGGTGCCCTCTGCCATGGCACAGCACAGTAAGAAGGCCCTCAATAGATAGATGGAGGCAACTTGGTGGAGGCTAGGAAGTCTCTAGAACTATGAGAAATAAATTTATAAGCCGCGTAGTTTATGGTGTTTTGTTACAGCAGCCAAATAGCCTGAGGGGTTGCCAGACAGCAAGCCTGGTTAGAGTTTTTGGTTCTTTAAAGGCCCAAGCCATCTTTCAAACATTCAAGTCCTTCGGAGGAAAGTCATGTCCTACATTTCTTTGTGTTTCCTCATCTGTAAAATGTGGATATAAATTGTGTCTACTACACAGTTGGAAAAATTAATGAAGCAATGCTTATAAAGCACAGCACCTGAGTAGCCTGAATCTTAAGAACATGTAAGTCCACAGTGATTTAGTTGAGACCTATGGGCCAGATGTGCTTTAGAATCAGAGTAATTTTTGGATTTTAGAAAGGCAAAGCAGGGTGTTTAAGGTAAATTACTTGTTTAAGGTGTATCCAGCCGGCTGTGGGAAAGCCTTCATAACTGAATACATTAATATTTTTGCTTATTCATGTTCAGTAGAATAAATCAAGTCTGTTCAGGTCAAATTGTGCTAACAAATGAGTTGCAGTTTTTTGTTTTCAGAGCTTTGTGGGATTCAAAAGCTCATCAGGGATTGTGACCTGTGTTCTTTCTACTGTGTGTGAGTATTTCATTTAACATTTTTGAGCTCTCTGGGGGCCAGGTGTGGGTGGATTTATATGTCAGGGCACAGTGCATCCCAATACCCTGGGATGTTGGAAGGCTGTGGGGGTGGAGGAGGGCCTGCAGGAGCGGGGCTGAGACTGCTTCTCAGCGGGTGGGATAGCCTTTGCCACCCTCCAGCAGCCGCTCCACAGCAGACAGCAGGTACCTCAGGAAGGAGGCTGAAATCTTTGCGCAGAATCTCATCGTAGGAGCGGTGGAAGAATTCCAAGAGGCTGACCGCTGTGAAGTGGAAGGCGTAACTCATGGCCAGCTGAGGAAGGAGTTTCTGCTGCTGTGTCTGGTAGTCCAGAATTTTTGTCTCTGGGTCACTGGGGGGCAAAAAAGCCAAAGATTTGGATGATACCTACATGCCATGTCCACCTCCCTCAACACCACATCCCCAACACCATGGAAGCCTTAAAAACGGACAGTTGTTCATATTCGTTGCAAAACTAACACCAGATTATCACTAATCTTCAAAAGTCTCATCTAACATGAACATTCACATCTTTCCCTGTAGATATATTGACACTCTTGCTTGTAGGGACTGCCTCTTGTGGAGTGAGGGTCACACAATTCTTGCATGCACACCGACCATCTCATCTTAAAATGTGAAAAGTTCTGAACTCTGACTTATCTGATCCCAGGGGTTGGGTAAAGGATGGTGGCCCTGCACTGCTGATGATTTGAACCTGTGATCTTTCACTGCCCATGTGCACTTGCTGTGTGCTAGGAAATGCGTTGAACCTAAACAACAGCTCTTTGGATGTGAACCTGGGCCCACTGAAACCCAAGGAGTGGCCTGGGGCTGCCTTGTCCATTGCTATGTCCTCAGTGCACAGGACACAGTGACTGTGTATTGAAAGGGGGTAGCTGTCCCAAAGCTGAGAGAAACCTGAGGCCTCTCAGGGGAGTAGCTCCTCACCCAACAGGGAGTTCTTATCATCCTTGGGACATCTCTACAACTCAGGTACATGGGCTGTAGACAGGACAAGCAGTGTGCTGTCTTCTAGTGCAGATACCCTCAGCCTGGGATTCTGGTGCCCAGGCCACCAAGGGTGCTGTGGGTTTGCCAGAAGACCCTGGGTCAAGGCCCACCAAGCTTTCCTGCATGTTACCCACAACACCATCCCCAAACATGACTCCTGTCCACCTGGCATACAATCCTCAGTCCATTTTGAGTCAGACTATCCTGGAGCCCATAGCATAAAAAAACACCAGACCCAAAGGCTGAGAGTCCTCAAATTCCAGTCCTGGAGATTTCACTCTTTTTATGCTTTTTTTTTTTTCTTTTTTTTTTTTTTGAGATGAGGTCTCACTATGTTGCCAGGCTGGTCTCAAGTAACCCTCTAGGCACCCACCAATATGCCTGGCTAGTGATCTCTTTTTTTTTTTTTTTTTTTTTTTGAGGGGGAGGACTAAAGATTGAACCAAGCAGTGTTTAACCACTGCACCACATCCCCAGCCATTTTTATATTTTATTTAGAGACAGGATCTCACTAAGAATGGCTTTGAACTTGTAATCCTCCTGCCTCAGCCTCCTGAGCTGCTGGGATTTAAGGCAAGCACCACTGTGCCTAGCTGTGATCTTATTCTTGATAGGTAGAAAAGAGACCTAGAGAGGGTCAAGGATTTGCCCAGGGTCAGTCAGCAGAGCTGGGAGGAACATTGTTTCTTGAGTACCATGGATTTGGTTTTGCTGTAACCAACTCTACTCCCTATTCCTCTTCTCACTCAATTTTGCCACATCCTGGGCGTGTGTGCCTCCATTTGGGACAAATTTATCTTAAAAAAAATTATTTGCTGTTTACCTAAAATTCATATGTGTGTCCAGGTGCACACATGTACGTGCGAGCAAATGCACATGTACCTGCACACAGGTTAAAGCAGTATGGAGTAGACTTTGGCATTCTGTGCCTCGGGGTATTGGGAATAGTAGCCAGACACAACCAGGCATAATGAAAGGTATTCAGACCTAGACAAACCACAGTCAGATGCTGACAGTCACAGCCAGACAGAACACGTTCATCCACACAGTCTGAAAAGACAGTTGGGCTTTGCCAGAGAGAACAGCCAGCCACGGTGAGATGCAACCTGGTAACTGGCCGACCCAGACTCACTAGCCAGTCACAGGTGTGTAGGACACAATGGGATCTGGACAGACACAGACTCACATCAGATGCTGATAGATAGAAACTGGGCCAGAGAGACCCCGTCAACATGGCCAGACTTGTATGTATGTATGAGAGAGGGGGAGAGAAAGAGAGGGAGGTCTGCTCCAGCACCCCAGCTCTGGCAGAGAGATACAGCCGGGGAGCAGGCACTGTGGGACTGAGTGTCAGCCCTGTCTACCCCAGTCAGTCTCCGGGCTCCCTCCCCTTGCCTGGGCCGGAGCCGGGATTGGCGGCGGACGACTGAGTAGCGCACAGCGATGACACAAGCCTTCTGCAGTAAGGGTAGGATGGAAGTCAACAGCAAGCGCACTCGAGTCACCACCATGCCAAGATAGTTGCTCTGTGCTGTCCCAAACTTGATGTAGGTGCCATCTGGCAAGACCTGCGTGAAACAAGGATAGACATTGGGCCATAATGAAGGCACTCCAGCCAGCTGACTCCCATGATCATGGGCCTCCACCCTGCTTGGGTACCATGGCACTCTTGCCCATCTGGAGACGACCGATGGTGTGGCCACAACAATCAGTAAGATACAGAAATGGGGGCAGGGGTTGTGGCTCAGGGTATTGCGCTCACCTTGCGTGTGCAAGGCCCTGGGTTCGATCCTCAGCACCACATAAAAATAAATAAATAAAACAAAGGCATCGTGTCCAACTACAACTAAAAAATAAATATTAAAAAAAAAAAGATGCAGAAATGCAGCCGGGCACAGTGATGCACACATGTAATCTCACCAGCCTGGGAGGCTGAGGCAGGAGGATTGCAAGTTCAAAGCCAGCCTCAGCAAAAGCAAGGTGCCAAACAACTCAGTGAGATTCTGTCTCCAAGTAAAATACAAAAAAGGGCTGGGGATGAGGCTCAGTGGTCGAGTGCCCCTGAGTTCAATCCCTGGTAGCCCTTCCCCCACAACACAAAATACAGAATGTTTCCCTGCTTGTTGCTAACTCCACCTCCCCAGGTGCCCTGTTTACATTCCCTCTGTGGGGACACCCCAGGCTTTCCTTTGATCCACAACTAACAGGGCACAGCCTGGCAAAATGAGAACCTCCAGGTCTCTGCCAGCACTCGGGTTAGCGTCTGTTCAGTGGCTGCTTGTGTCCAGGCCTCACTGTGGGAAAATGTTAGCACATGACTCTCAGCCCCCTTTCTTCTTTCTCTGGGGTTGCTTGGCCATCCAAGGTGGAGAGTCATGAGAAGTCTGAGGCTCAGCGAGGCAAAGCAACTTGCTCAAGATCACACCGTCTCTAAGCTGGGGCTTTCCTCCAGTCGGTGGGACCGAGTCCTTCTCCCTAAAACTGCTCAGGCCAGAGTCTCTCTGGGGAATTGTGGCCTAAGCAGTTTTAGGGAGAAGGACCCAGACCCAGTATCAGCCTGTGCAAGATGCAGGTCCCCTGCCCAGGCAGTAATAGCTTCCCTGGCTTCCAACCTGTGCAAAGCGACTCAGCATGTTCTCCCTGGGGACCCGCACGTGGTCTAGAAGCAGGAAGCCATTGTCTACATTTTCCAAGTCCATCTTGGGCCCAATATCCCCAACAGTGATTCCTAGAGGTGGATGGAGAGGAGAAGGACTGTCATTTGAATGACACATTTGCTGTGCCAGGTACCACATACCCATTCCAGCTCACAGCAGCCTGTGACACTGGGTTATTGCTGAGGTTAGACAGATGCTGACTCTTGCTCAGGGTTACCCAGCCAGTCAATACCAGGACGTTCAACAGAACCCCTCCTGGACCTGGGACAGCAGTCCCAACTTCTCCCATAGATTCCTTGGGCCCTGAGGACAAGGGAAACTTGGTGGGACCTTCTCCTGGAAGGGGTCCCTGAGGGAACAGCATGGGCTTACCTGGCAGTGGGGTGTGGTCCTGGAGGCTCCGGATGGGCACGATAAAAGCGTGCATTCCCTGCCTGGCTCCTGAGCAGATCAGCTGGGCCAAGACCAGGGCATGGGTGGCCGACCGGCCCACTGAGGGCAGAAAGATAAGAGGCACATCGTGGGGAGACCTGTGTATTGCTGTCCCCCAGCTTAGGCTCCTGGGGTTGAGATTGCTCAAGGACATCTCTGAGGCCTCCAAAAGTTATTGATGATAGAGGAGATTTGTCCCCAGAGAGCCAAACAAAACTAGCAGTGACTTGACAAAGGAACTGAAAAGAGTGAGCTCTTGAAAGTTCTGCTGTCCCCTCAAAACAAAAGCAAAAGCAAAAAACTATTAATGAATCACTCTGTCATCAACCTCATAATAATGAATACAGATATTTGTCAAAATCCAGGTGTCATTTGACCCTATACTGACGTTTTCTAGTTCTTACAGGGCAGGTATCATGAGTCTCATTTTTCAAGATAAGGAAAAGGAGACTCGGAGAGCAGGGTGACATGCCGGAGGTCACTGGCCTGGTGGGGGGCAGAGCTGGGATTGGAACCCTGGTCTGCTTGATTTTTTTTTTTTAAAGGATAAAGGATGGAGTTCCTTTTCTTAAAAAATTTTTTTAATTGTATCTTTGTTTTTAAATTTATTAATTAATTTATTTATTTTTATTTTATTATTTTTATGTGGTGCTGAGGATTGAACCCAGTGCCTCACAAGTACTCAACCACTGAGCTACAACCCTAACCCTCTTTTTTTTTTTAGTACCGGAGATTGAACTCAGAGGCACTTAACCCCTGAGCCACATTGCCAGCTTCATTTTGTATTTTATTTAGAGACAGGGTCTCACTGAGTTGCTTAATGCCTCACTTTTGCTGAACTCGTGATCCTCCTGCCTCAGCCTCCCGAGCCACTGGGATTACAGGCGGGCACCACCACGCCCAGCGGTCTGCCTGATTTCAAAGGCGTTTTTCTCTCTGTGGTTTTGGTCTTGTTCATTCTCTTACTCTGTCTCCTTTCTTCTGATTTTCTCTCTCACCTCTACTTTTCTGCTTTAGTTGAACTCCAGGCATTTGTTTTATTTATTTTCCACACCAGGCCTGGATCCCCAAATGCTGCAGATCCGTCCGCAGAGCTGAATTCTCAAACCCAAGGGAGGAGGCCTTGGTGGGCATGGCAGCCACCTGGTGGCCATCTGATTAGAGCTGATGGTGGCACGGGATTTTCTGGGTGTCTGGGGCAGGGGCAGGGAGGTGTTTTTTCTACTCACTGTCGTCATAGGACCTCTGCCCTGGCTGGGGACAAGCTTAATCATCGACTCAGGACAACTGGGACTAGGCCAAGTGTGCACATGTGTCATGTGCATGCACACACACAGGGGTTGGGAGGCAGCGTGTGCGTGTGTGGCCTTGTCTCTTATCCTTGTCAAAGCCCAAGCCCCCCCCCCCAACCTGCCAGCTGTTCACTAATGAAAGTCTTAGCAGCCCCGTTATTTCCAGGCGACCAGTGCAAGAGAGGAAATCAGCCTGAAATCTCTTGGACAACAAATCCAGTGCTGCTCTGCCCTCTGATGTTGTCCTCCTTGGGCAGGGACAGGGCAAGGGAGGACGGATACTCACTGTCCCCAGGCCACCACTTGGCGGCAGTCATGGTGGGGCTGTGTATCACAAACTCCTGGGTGGCTGCGTCATAGATGGCTTCAGTCTCCAGGCCTTGAAGATATGACCCTGGCAACCAAGGAGGGGAGTGAGACATTCAGCCAAGGCGGGGTTCTTAATTGGGGAGCAGCTTCCGGGTGGGACTGGACTCTGAGCTACAAGCCAGTATGGAGTAGGGCCAGCTCCCCTCTGTACTTGGCAGGTATTTCTCCCCTTTGATCTCTGGGTTTTGTGGGGATGCACAGAGTGGGGTGCTGATGCTTCTAGAAGGAATGACTTATCCAGCTGGTAATTCATACAGTACAGTTGTGAAAATTAGAAAAAGCCACCCCTCCTCAAGACCCTTGACTGCCATCTGCTGGAGAGTTTTCAAATCAGATATGCAATCTATGAGACGCAATGGGCCTTCTGGGGTTGTACAGTGCACGACCCCAACATTGTATGCAGCAGCCCTGGCTCACCGTGTCCCAGCTCTGTCTGGGCATACGTTGTGATGATCTGGAAGTTTTCACAGAGTGGTATCCATTTAGCAATCTGTTCCTCTGAGCCAAGGCTCCTGAGCGCATTCATGAAGACACCATTTAAAGTTAAGGCCACGTCTCCAGAAAGGGCCCTATGGAGGAGAGATGCCGTGATTCAGTAGCCTATTAAGACAGGGGTTGTACCCTCAGCTAGGGTGCAAGAGGGAAGGGACACCTGGAATCCTGGTTTCCCAGTAAGTAATGGTTTTGTTGGGGAAAATGGCTCATGGGACTGGGAGGTTTATAAGTGATCCCAGGTAGATTCCTCTCTGGCAGGGCCGCACCAGGAGTAAGTACCTGAAAGCATAAGCCAATTCGCAACCATCTGCCAGCCAGCCCAGGCGCTGTGCTATCATCTGTATGTGGTATCTCTTCCGCAGGGCAGTCTCATAATGCTCATTCTGGGTCATGAAATGATTGTTCTTAAGGCTAAACACTGGGTCATTGTGGATGATGCTTTCTGCAAGGGGTGGAGAAAAGAGGGCATAGGCACTTGGGTGAGGTTTCTGGCATCAGATCTTCCCACACACTTGCCTCATGGATCTGCAAAGGAAGTCACTCATTATTTTACAGATGAGAAAACAGAGGCCCAGAGGTGAGAAATGTGCTCTGTCCAAGGTTACAAAAGCAAGGCAGTGGCAGAATTAGGACCAGCATTCAGGTGTCCTACTGCCTGGGACCCTTCTGTCACTCAGATGGGCTCGGGGAATACTGGCATGTTAGTAGTGCCTTCATAGTCCAAAGGAATGACTCTGACAATGGTGTTTCAAGGGCAAATTTGTGTGTGTGTGGGGGGCGGGTACAGGGGATTGAATCCAGGTGCACATCCCCAGCCTTTTTTGTATTTTATTTTGAGTCAGGGCCTCACTGAGTTGCTTAGGGCCTTGATAAATTGCTAAGATGGCTTTGAACTTAGGATCCTCCTGCCTCAGCCCCTGAGCTGCTGGGATTACAGGTGTGCACCACCAGACCCAGCTGCAAATGTGCTATTTGAAGATAGGACTGTGACTACTCTCCCATCATCTAAGGAAAGCACATAGCCATAAATACAATGCATTAAAAAAAATAGAAAAATTCTGATATATAGAAAGAAAGAAAAAGAAGAAAGAAAAGAAAAGCAGGGTACTCTGTGTCTCAGCCTCCTCTTACCGACTTTCCTCCGGATCGAAGTGTTCTGGGCACCTCTGTCAAGGATATTGGTGAGTCGTTCCACATTGAAGGATGGCACACGCCTCTCACTTTTTATATCAGGGTGCTCTTGCCTGCTCCACTTGTCCCCCAAGGACACTCGGTGCACCGGGCTACCCATCCTACTCTGCTGTTCAAGAAGAGACACTTCCAGCCCAGCTGCTCTGAAGATCTCTTCAGGGCATGGGGAGGGGGGTGGTGTCCAGGAACCTGTGTGCACAAGGAATCACCTGAGGCTGTGTGTCAGCAGGCCCCAGGCCCCAATCCCCTCTGAGCTTTGGGCAGGATTGCACTGCAAAGCTCACGCTCCAGCCTCTGTGGCTTGGGTAATGAGCACCATCCTCATAAAGAGCCGGAGACAGTCACTCAAACAAAATGATCTTAGGTTAGGTGAATGACCCCTAGTGACACCGCTGGATCTGGCCAGGACTGGACGGGATCTGACCACAAAGCACATGCATTGTCCATTATGGTGCCCCACCCTAGGGACTCACTGTGGGACTCAACCCCATTTCTTGAGCTCTGAAGGATACTGTGATGCTGAGGGGAGGAACCTTGCCCACCACCTGGGAAGTAGCCCCCTGGGACCCCAGCACGTCTCCCATACCCAGGGTGGGCCCTGCCTCCTCCATGCCAAACCCTTGGGCTCTTAGAAACTCCCATTCCTCTACAGTGAGGCAACCACCAGGTATAATCCATCCTACTTCCCAAGTCACTTGAATCTAACTGCTCCTTGCCATCTTCTTGGCTACCACCTAGCCACCATCACTTCTTACCTGGCTTCTGTGTCTCTTGTCTGTTTTTATTTTTTGGTAGCTGAGACTAAACCTAGGGGCGCTTAAACACTGAGCCACATCCCAGCCCATTTTAATATTTTATTTAGAGACAGGGTCTCACTGAGTTGCTTAGGGCCTTGCTAAGTTGCTGAGGCTGGCTTTGAACTTGCCATCCTCCTGCCTCAGCCTCCCAAGTTGCTGGGATTACCTGGCCCAGGTAAGCTCTTAAGTGAAAGTCACCTTGTGTTTTTCCCTGCTTGGAATTGGCTCCTCGGTGTCCACCATTTTTGGAATGGAGTCACTGCCATGTCCCTCTCCTGCATTAAGCTACTTCCCCTTCCTGGGCCTCCTCTCACTTCCTCCTGCCCTTTGCCCCTGATAGCCTGAGGCTTGGCTCCCTGGTGTTCCTGGTGAGTCCCAGCTTTCAGGACCCCAGCTCTAGGAACCCCTGCTGCAGGCAGCACCCCTGGGAGAAATGGATCCCCACTAGCAGTTATTGGTACTGGGGACAAGTTCCCGTTTACTCACATATCCCATCCCCTAGCAGGGAGAGGTGCATTGGGTCCCCAGAGCCTGGCTCACAGGAGGCAGGCTGTAAGATTTTCCTTCGGTCGACCACACCTTTGGATTCCTCTATTCCTCAACTTCTACCCTGGGATGTGCTGCAGTTATTACCATTTTGTAGAGAAGGCAGGGGCTTGGAAAGAAGCCACTTGGTCAGCTCACAGCCACAGGTAGCAAATGGGATTCTTTTTTTGCCGCAGTCTGGCTGGGCACAAAATCACGAGCCACTCACAGCCTTGTAGATTCAAACAGCAATTCTTTATTCCCGAACTCACACCGGCACTCTACACACACATTCTGAGGAAATCCACGTTCTGGCCAAAATCCACGTTCTGAATCCCAAATACTCTGGGAGCAGGCGTACCTGAGGCAGCAGGATATGCCCTATTCCCAGCAGGGTATACCTTAAACCTGGAACCTCCCTAAACCCAAGGAGCAGGAAACTCCCTAATCCCAGTAGGATACACCATAAACCTGGATCTGCCCTAATCCAGTAGGATCCTCCCTAAACCCAGATCCACCCTGGTCCTTGAGCAGGGTCACCTTTCTCAAACATACATGCAATGTCACTGCAAATGTCCAAGGCAAGTCCATTTCCACGAGTCCTTCCTCTAAGCAACATGGGGTACGCTGGCAAGGAAATTCTCATACCTACTTGGCTAACGGCTCTCAGCATTTTTTTTTTTAATTTAAGTTTTTTGGTACTGGAGATTGAACCCAGGGGCACTTTACCACTGAGCTACATCTGCAGTCCTATCTATCTATCTATCCATCTATCTGTTTATTTATTTTGAGACAGGATCTCACTGAGACTGACTTTGAACTTGTGATCCCCCTGTCTCACCCTCCCAAATTGCTGGGATTACAGGTGTGCATTTCTGCACCTGGCAAAATGCACTATTATTATTTAGCAGGGCTGGGAATGGAACGCAGGGCTTGGCGCACATTCTACCGCTGAGTTACATCCCCAGCCCAGCAAGTGGGATTCTTATGGGAGGCCCCTGGAGCAGGGCTATGGGTGCTGAGAAGAAGCCAAGAGTCTCCATCAGCTGCCTCTGGGATTCCTGGGAAGCCACTTAGCCCAGCTCCTCTCTCTTCCCCTTGCTCCCTCATTCCAAATTCCTCTGCCTCCTGGCTGTCCCCAACCTCCCAAGAATCTCCCTCCCACAGCCTTTGCCAGGGCTATGCCTGTGACTAGAATACCCTGTCCTCATATATCACCAAGGCTCCCTCCATCTCATCTTAATGTCACCTCTCAGGGAAGCCTGCCTTTAACATCCCAAGTCCCCTGGCATGTGATCCTGTCCTGGCTCTGCTTTGTGTACTTTCTGTTTACATACACGCAAGGTCATTAAACTGCTCTGTTCCCGGTTGTTTTTGTTTATTGGTCTGTAGCCGCCCTGCCCCCACTAAAATGCCAAGTGGGCAGGGACCTTTGCCAAGCGCCTGCTCTAACAGGGCAGAGCCTGCAGGCAAGAGTGTCTGCTGAATAGTTGTGAAAGAAAGAAGGCGCTGCTCACAGCCACTAGGAGCTGCCCAGGCTCAGTCCTGGGGTGTCATGCCCTCAGGGTCTCCCAGTTCTTCCCTGCCCTGCCCTGCCTGGCTCCCTGACTCACCTCTGTCCTGTGCCCACACTTTAGGTCTGGGCTGGCCTCTTCCTGGTGCAGATCTGAGCCTTCCAAAGATAAAGGTGAGTGGCTAAGCCCTTTTCTCCTCCCCCTGAGGGGTTGGGTGCTTAACGGGCCCTCCCACGTGCTCCCATACTTCTGAGTCCCCGCCCCCAAGCCACTGAGTGAGTGTGACATGCATAGACGCTGGGTGCCAGGCACTGGGGCTGCCTGGGTGCTTGTAGCTCCCACACATATCACACATACATGGTGTAACTTCCCATTCTTGTGGTTGTACCTGAGGTGGAGTTTTACTGATTCTGTGTTCATATATGAACATAGGAAAGTTCTGTCCTGTTCAAAGCTGGGGATTGCTTTGAAAGCACTTGTACTTGTGTACTCCAGCTGTGTTTCCAGAGTGACACCCCTGATCTGTCCCGATGGCGTCCTCTATCAGCTTGAGCAGATCACATCACAGGGGCTTAACGGGCTCCCTGCAGGTGATCCCCTTGAGAAAGGCTTGCTCTGTGAGAGGACTGTTTTTTCCCCTATCCCCTGTCTGCTGTAGAATTTGGCCTGTTTTATGGTTAGCATTAGTATTCACGTGCCCTCTCCAGGTTTCCTGGATAGATGTTTGTGGAATGCTCCAGAGCTACAGGAGTGGGGTGGGATACTCCGAAGGCACCTCAGTTCCACTCTTAAAACCCCAGAAGGAACTCATAATAAGGGGGGGGGAAGCAGTGGAGGGGGGGCAGTGGAGCGGGGGCAGGTAGAAGTTCACTGGATGAGACAAAGAGGAATGAAGGAAAGGGAGGGGGATGGGAATGGGCAAGATAAAGGAATGAACAGGAAACCTAATGGCTAACACAAACATGTGAAAAGATAAATAAACTACAATATCAATTAGGAAATGCAAATTCAAGCCAGATCCTCACACATCAGCAAAAAAAAAAAAAAAAAATTAAGCTTTGATAATCCTGAGTATGAGTGAGGAGCAGAAGAGGTATAATTTTCATACACTTCTCATGGAATGTTAAATTGGTACAAGTCCTTGGAGAAGAATGTGGCACTGTCTGGTAAATACAAAAATGTTGGGCCTTGAACTTCAGCAATTCTGCTTGTGCTTATTTATGGGCCCTAGAACGCAAAACTAAGATAATCTCTAACATAACATAGAAACGCTTAAATATGCTGGATATTGCCAGATTTTCCACCAAAACCAATGTACTGCTATACTACCCAAAACATTTGAGTTTCCCAGTTTCCCCATGACCTTTTATGCCCATCCACAATGGATAGAAAACAAATCCATTTTTATTTCAATCATATTTATTTAAGTTATGAGTGAGGGTGTACATCTTTTCAAACTTTTATTGGACATTTGTACTCCTTTATTCTGGAAAGGGCCTATTTATACCCTTTGCCCTATTTTCTGTTTTGCTCTTTGTTGAGGTTTGGATATAAGATGTGTCCCCCAAAGCTCTTGTGTTAATGCACAAATGTTTGGAGGTAAAGTTCTGAGACTGTGAGAGCTGTGACCTAATCGGTCTATCCTAGTGTGAATGGACAGACTGGATGGTAACTGTAGGCAGGTGGGACAAGGTGGATGAGGTGGGTCAAGGGGACGTGTCCCGGAGGGATGCATCTTCACTATAGCCCTTTTTCCCCCTCCCTTTCTCTGCTTCCTGACCCCACATCAGGTGAGCAGCTTTCCTTTGCTGGGAACTTCTGCCATGATGTTTGCTTCACCTTGGGCCCAGAGCAATGGATCTGGCCATTTATGGACTGAGACCTGTGAAATCAGGAGCCAAAATAATTTTTTCCTTCTCTAAAATAGATAGATAGATAGATAGATAGATAAATCCATCCTGGAAGGTAGCTAGCAGCTCCCCATTTTGCTGGTAAAGAACCAACCTCAGACAAGATATTGTCCGCCCCAGTTTGGACAATAGCTAGATTCCTGATAGAGCTGGAATTTGAACCAGGTCTCTGAGGAAAAGGATTAATTATTGACCCATTAGTGCAAAAGTGGGAAAGAAAGAGAGTGGGACTCTTGTCCTGACAGGACATCGGGCATTTGGCACTCTGGGCAGGTTTCTTCCCCTCCTGGGTCTGGGCCTCTCCTGTGTGTGATATGGGGGTGTCTGTGCACTTAGGGGCTCACAGTTCTCCACTATATTCCCAAGGTGGCATCTAGCTTGTGTCTGCTGGAGGAGGCAGGCCCTGTGACCCAGGCTTTGAGGTCACAGGTTCTGCCTGTAGGACCGTGCCAGCCCCAATTCCTGTGGGTATACACAGGGTGATGGCTTCAGGTTAGGTAGCCTTGATCTCAGTCCTTGGAGATGAAAGTTCTGGCTTCCAATCTGGACTTTGCCAAGGATTTGTACACTCCCTCTCCTCGGCAGGTTGCTTCATTTGTCTTTCTTATGTGTTCCATGTCTTAGCGAACGCCTTTCTCTTAAATTATTTCTTCATCAGTTTGGAAACTGTCCCTGCTCTGTAGGATTTGGATGGGATAATTTTGATTTGTTGACCAGTCTATTGAATTCTCTAGGGTAAAAACGTTGTAGTTTTTTTTTTTTTTATGAAGAATTTTAAATCCATAGAAAAGTGGATAGAAGAATACAAGGAACCTACATGCACCTGTCACCTAGCTTTAATGATGATCCTCTAATGTCTTCTTCTCCTTCTCCCCCTCCCCCTCCCCTTCTCCTCCTCCTCCCCCT